TAATGTATGGATTATTGTATTATGGAAATGAAACGTACTACTACATCATGACAAGCAACAATTGTTATAGTAAAATACAATTAATTTTGGAGACTGCGGTCAGATATGAAAATACATTCAAATCATGTTGGTGTAGTAAGGAGATTTTTTTTTATCTTTCTTAGGCCTCATCATTTATTTATATATTCAGCTAAACAATTTAATTAGATAAATAGTAAGGAACTTCATGCCCAACAAAGTAACTTTCTTATACAAGTTAATTACTCTCATAGAAAAAAAGAAAACAAAATAAAAGTTGAGAAAATAATAAATAAACACACTCTGAAGAAGCGTCACATAAGCGTCAAAGATTTAAAGGTATAGGATCAGGAGAACAGAAGCTCCTAGGCGCTAAGGCTCGCTGTCTCAGCTATAATCCTAGCTCAACTTGAATTAAACTTCTCGCCAATTTTTACTTTTATAGTCTTATTATCTAGCGTCACTTTTATAGTTAATATTTAAATGTTTCGTACATAGTATGAGCATGATATATGCACCTATTTTAAGTTTAAGTTTAATATTATTAAAACAAATATATGCTATAAATCATCAACTTTGTCAATGTTTCATTAAATCTACCTAAAATTATGTTTTTCACACAACAACTCATACTTATTAAATTACAAAAATCTTATTAATTGACTATTACAATATTGGTATATAAAAAATATTGGAGACATGTTCCGGCCTTCGGTCCGATTGTTCTTGGAGCCGGAAAAAAAATTTCGATATCATTTCAAGAGAGATTTATGTATTGTTTTTTTTCTGCCTTTGCTTTGCCCGGGTGGTTACGAGGTGGTTAAGCAATGGCAGGAAAAAAACGATAAATAAATTTCTCTTGAAATAATATAAATATTTTTTTCTCGACTCCAAGACAAATCGGACCGAAGGCAGGGATGTGTGTCCAATATTTTCTGATTGAAGTTGATGATTTATAGCACATATCTAATTTAATAATATTAAACTTGAACTTAAAATATGTTCGTATATTATGTTCATACTGTGTATGGAACATTTAAATATTGACTCTAAAATTCACGCTAGATAATAAGACTATAAACACATCAATTGGCGAGAAGTTGCATTCTAGTTGAGCTAAGGCCAATGATCAGACAGTGTGCCTTAGCGCCTAGGAGCTTCTGATCTCCTGATACTTCACCATTGAACCTTTGACGCTTATGTGACGCTTCTTCAGAGTGTTTATATATTATTTCTTCAATGTTTTATTTGTTTACTTTTTTATACTGGAGTAATTAAATTTTATCACAGGTCAGTATTTTGAGCTCAATTTTTTTCAAGACACTCAGGAGATCTCAACCAATAATTTAAGCCATAAAATTTAAAAATAGATCCAGCCATTTACTCCCACTCTCTATTTCCCATCAAAA